CACTTACAAAACCAATTTGTTCCTCTTTAATAATTTACACGTCTCATCAGTGACCAGCACACACACACACACACAGACAGACACTCACACACAGACACAGACAGTGTGTGAGCCTTTACTGTAACATTAACAAACACTAAGCATGCGCTTCAGGCCCTCCTGACTGCAGCACAGCTGCATCAAGGCTGAGAGCTTTTCCACAAAGAAACGAGTGAAATGATGAGAAGAATCTTCTGAAGCAAGATCAGTACAAGAGCTGATACCTGAAGGGTGTAAAAGCAGCTGATCTCACAGCTGGAGGTGAAGCCTTTCAGTGGGGGTGCTGCTTATTCCAGGTTACAGATGCTCAAGATTAGCAGAGAAATCCAGTTATTTCTAACAGAGTCGTGTGAGCTGCAGAGAGCCAGCTGGGCCCTTAAAGATAAGAAACCTCTGCGATGCCCGAGGGCCCTTCGTATCCACAGCAGGCCGCTTCGCACAGCTCCTGTCCATTTACACCAGGGCGGGTACCGGCTTCCACCCGGACGATAGGTGTCGCCGCTTAGGCCGAACCGCCACATCAGTGCTGCTACAGGAGCAGAAGAAGAGTCCAACCTGGAACCTGCGAGTTTCCTTGCAGAACGTTTCATATTTTCAGGCTGTTGCAGCGTCTCTGTGTCATTAAGCAGAAGTACAAACTGCCATGTTACAAAGACCAAAGGTCTCTGCAGCGTCTGTGGATGTGACGTCATTTGTATGCCACCGTTCGCCATGGTGAGCACAGCAAGCCTAACATCCAGACCCATGATTTTTAGCTTCATAGTTGTCGCCATGCTTTTGTTGGTAGTAGTGTGGGAGCTTCACACAGACGCAATAATCTGATAATCAGTAACATCCAGTCAGAAGCCTCGAATTTTACTCGCCAAGACTGGAGCTCAGAGTTTTTGGTGTTTCAGTGAAATTAACCAGCAGCTGTCATTAGTCAAATAACTGTCTAATTAAAGCTTGAATCTCGAGCTATTTTATATCAGTATTTATAACAGCTGATGAATATGGACATTTTAAAACTCGTGTTTTCAGACTCCTCCACTTGGAGGAGTTCAAGTATCTCGGGCTCTTGTTCACGAGTGATGGGAGAAGGCGGAGATCGACAGACAGATTGGTGCGGCGGCTGCAGTGATG